TAGCACCGAGCTGATCTCCCTGTGCTATGCAGCTGCTTCCCACTAGCTAGCTATTTTACATTTGGTAGTGTATATATGTCCATGCCATTCTCTCACTTTGTCACAGCTTACCCTTCTCCCTCCCCATATCCTCAAGTCCATTCTCTAGTAGGTCTGTGTCTTTATTCCCGTCTTAACCCTAGGTTCTTCATGACCTTTTTTTTTTTTTTTTCTTAGATTCCATATATACGTGTTAGCATACGGTATTTGTTTTTCTCTTTCTGACCTACTTTACTCTGTATGACAGACTCTAGATCCATCCACCTCAGTACAAATAACTCAATTTCATTTCTTTTTATGGCTGAGTAATATTCCATTGTATATATATGGGCCACATCTTCTTTATCCATTCATCTGTTGATGGACACTTAGGTTGCTTCCATGTCCTGGCTATTGTAAACAGAGCTGCAATGAACATTGTGGTACATGACTCTTTTTGAATTATGGTTTTCTCAGGGTATATGCCCAGTAGTGGGATTGCTGGGTCGTATGGTAGTTCTATCTGTAGTTTTTTGAGGAACCTCCATACTGTTCTCCATAGTGGCTGTATCAATTTACATTCCCACCAACAGTGCAAGAGGGTTCCCTTTTCTCCACACCCTCTCCAGCATTTATTGTTTCTAGATTTTTTGATGATGGCCATTCTGACCGGTGTGAGATGATATCTCATTGTAGTTTTGATATGCATCTCTCTTCTTCTTGAACCCCAAGTGCCTGGTACCTCAATAAACCTTTGTTAAAATAATATAAAGTTACCAAGAAAATAGATCGTTCAGCTGCAGGTGGAACATTCTTTTAGATATTCATTGCTCTCTATTTTCCTAACACATTCTGCACCAGAACCTTAACATGAACTGTCAAACCTTAAAATATTAGCAAAATATAACTGTCAGACTTAAAGCATTGCCACTGAGTTGACTGATTACACTGATCACATGCCCATACACATGGTGTTTGTGCACAGAAACACACACACACACTTTTTTTCTGTTGGAATCTGGTAGGCACACACCAAGTTCTACTTTTACCAGTTCTATATTACAAATACATGCTGGAAAGCACTGAAAAGGGAGAAATATATAAAAATGTAATTCATCTCCACCCTTCCTTTTGTTGGCATTATAGCTTGTTAGTGCATTTTAAGGACAATGGGTTCATAGATCACTCTTGAATGCTTGGACCTTCAAATTAATATTCTGTAGTCTAAGAATAAAAATCTTAGAAAAGTTCTGGATTGTCAAATGCTATTTTGGAGGTATGTAGTCTTTTCTTAATGTCAGTAGATGTCATTATTTAAATTCAGCCATTTGTTAAACAGTATAATTGTCCATCCATTATATTTTACCACTGAATTTAGACATGTTACACCTCCCCTCTGCTCAAAAATTTTCAAGTCTTAGAAACTACAGGCTGATGAAGATGATCTGAAAAATAATTTTAGTCAGCATAATTCAAAATAATAGAGAGGATCAGAACTTTTACTACCTAGGTAGCTTTTAAATGATAGTCCTTGCTAGATTCTGTTTTACCCAGATAGAAAATTCTGCATTTTATACCTTGAAAAAATAAAACCGTGCCAGCAGAATCCTAAAATGGATAGATTTTAGTTGGCATTTGCGTGTGTGTGCCCTGGACAGGCTTAAATGATTAATTAGTCCATAAAATTGAGGACAAAATTCTGAAATGCTTTGTTCAGTTTATTTTATGGCTCCCTTTCCTTGTTCTTAGGTGCACAAATCCTACCCTCATCTGTACTGCACTGCTCATTATTTAACATTTAAGAACTAACTGATGAGTTCCTCATGGCATTGTTACTATCAACTTGAGCTTCTGTGCCAGACATCAATACAAATCACTTGGAGAATATCTATGTGAATCCTAAACCACTCAATTAGTGATTCTGTTCTAACAGTCCTCCCTTACCTGGACTGCTTAGAAAAAGAAAGAGGAATGAAATGGTAGCCTGCTGGTGTTCCCTTCTATGACTGGGGACAAAGCATTCCATTGCCTCCGTTTCTCCTTTTGCAAACCTAAAGAATACTTCTCTTATTACCTCGTAAGGGACTGTGGTCTGGATTGATAACATGATGACAACCTTGGATTCTTTAAGTGTCATATGAAGACTTGTTACACAGAATGCTGGCTTGCTGTATGCAGGATAGAACATTCTTTTTAAGCTTTCTTTTTATGGTAATAGGTGGTTGAATTTAAGCAGTTCTAAATTACATTCTTGCTTGACTTATACCTAAATGTCAATTTTCTCTGGATTAAAAAAAGCACTATATGAATTCATGTGACAAAACACACACACACAATACACACAAACACAACCAACTATTAGGAATTTTCTAAGATTTAAGTAACATGGAATTTGATTACACAGTGCATTCTGGGGCTCAGCCACAGCAGGCTACAGATACCAGGCAGGCTGATTACGACTTAAGCATTGTTTCAATGTGATTTTGCAAAGGATTTCATTTAATGCAGATTAGTAAGTTTATTAAGCTGTTGATAATTGAAGCCTCTTAGGTTCAGTAGGTACTATCCAGCGAGGTAGATTAGTGGGGTTTAATTTGTTGCTCTCAAATAGCAAACAAAGACTTAGCAGAATAATTACATCTCCTCTGTGGACTAATAAAAGGCGACATCACATTGGTGCTTTTGGCCATTTCTGCATTTTTGCAGTTTCTTTTAGAGCACTGCCTTTGGAGTTTCCTGCATCTCTCTCAAGTGACACCAAAACCCATCACCTGTGAATTATGTTACTTAGAAATTAAGGTTAGTTACATGCAATGTAAGCCATGAATGGAAAGATTCACGTTAGAGCAAGTTGTGCTCTCTCTACCTTAAGTCAGAACTTTTCCACTATTTCCTAAAACTTTCTGTCTATCCCCTTGTCCAGATTGTAAGTACCTCAAGGGTGGGGGCCGTGTCTCTCATCTGATTCCTTAGCAATTAGTACCATATCTGGCATATCGAGGCACTCAGTCTGTTTGCCTAAAAAACAATGAATTATCTTAAATAATCCAAAGTATGCTCTAAAAATAACATTATCACCAAGTTTTCGAGTTCTAGGAAGTTAGTCTTAGCCAGAGTATAAAGTTGCTGTGTTAGCCAAAAGACTAAGAGTCAACATATGAAAGAGATTGTACGAAAGAGTAAAATGATGATTTATTACCCAATAGATTCTTGGACACACAGAGCATTCAGCCTGTTATTTAGTCAGTCGACTAAATAAATTAACTTAGTGTCTTGACATGACCCAGTCCTCACTTTAGTTGATTTGGTTACATGCGTTTGGTGTCATCACAACATGAAGAGACAGAGGCCTCATTCCTCTGGGACTCCTAGGTCTGCCATATTTCTAACAGAGTCACAAACCAGACAGTGAAAAATGCTACACTGGGGGAAGGTGATATAAATAACATTTCTTAACAGGAAATGCCAAAGCTGTTTGGAATGGTTAGAAATAAGTTTCTAGAAATAATCTTGGTATTCTTTCTCTTCCATTCCTGGATATCAGATTATTAGCAAGACTGCAGGTGTGGAGACTCAGGCCTTAGGAATCACTGCTGGTTTCTGTTTTCTCCATTGGCTTTATAGCTACTTTATTTTTTCAGAATGACACCTGAACTTCAAAGTTAGTGAGACATTTTGAGTATTCTGGAACATAGCACCTTCCTCAAAATTAGTTTTAAACTTAATCCCACTCCTATGTCTCCCACTTCATACGAGGTCTACCTTGACTTACTGGTAAGGTTCTCCCTTGCAAGTGACTTTGCAAGGATGTTTGGCTGCAGGTCATGGCGACTGTTCCCAATGACTTCACAACATCATAAAGGGCAGAGAAGAATGAAACCTGATTCTGGTCCTTCATTTGAGTGAGCGGTGATTTTGTTTTAGACTGGGTATCGTTTAAACCATGGACCCATTCCTCAAGACAACATCCCTAGACATATATGTCCCCTATAACACTTAATATGATAGTAACAAACCTCAAAAGGATAGATATATAAGAGTGCTAAAGCATGGATTATAAAGAAGTACTCAAACCAGTGTGCTTCCTAGAGATCTCAGTTAGTGCCTGCCTGTCCATATGTAGCCATTTTTATCGTGATACCATATCCTCACCTACCCCCCCTCCCCCGCACCATGGTCATAACTGAATAGACCAGTGGTGGTGCCTGACATCACAGCAAAAAAGTCATAGGCTGGCCACTACCTTTGACTTATGAAGGACCCCAAAGGGAAGCTGATCAATCATAGTCCTTTTCTTGGAAATCTGAACTTAGAAACTCAGAGAAAATGAAGCCAGGAACCATGGGGAACTAATGCAGAAAAGTCTTGAGGCAGAGAAAGCTCCAACTAGGTAACAACACTTAGGTATAAGTAGAAATTCAGAGAGGGAAACATGTGCATTATCAGAGTACTCCACAGTGCCTGTGCAGTTAGAAGTAGAAACGCTGTGTATGAGAGAGAAACAAGGTAGCCTATGAGAGACAGAGAGATGGGGAGAGTAGTCCTGCTTCCTGATGATTTTCCCATTCCAATTCTAGTCAATTTCTAGGCTCACAATAATTTCTTCTTCCCTAACATGACTTGAGTGATTCTCATTAGAACAGCTAGGAAAGGTAACAATAAAATCTTATGAGCCAAAAGATACCAAAAAACCTTATTTTTTCATAGTTCACAGATCCAGCTCTCAAGTGCTGTATCTCATTTGCTCTACCTGAGCTCCATGTTGGGAGAAACTGACGTTCAGAGAGGGAGATATGACTTGCTCAAGGTCACACCACTAGCAACTAGCAAAGGCAGAACTAAAGCCAGCTCTTCTGATCCAGACACCTGTGCAATCCAGTCCCATCACACTACCCCCTCCACATGGAAGGCAGAGTCAGCTGGCATCTAAAACATTTTCATCTCTGAAAAGGGGCTGATTTGTAGGATAAGTAGAGAGAGGCTGACACATTCTGCTTGTATCAAGGACACAATTCTAGTTGTTATTTTGCTTTTGGAAACAGTTACAGTGTTAGCTCTGACAACCAAGAGTCTTGGATGTCCCAACATTTCCCTTAATGGGATTCAGCTAAAGGAACTTAATGGGTGGGCCAAAATGTGCCTTCGGTATTTTAAATAAAAATAAAAGACACATTTCTCATTTTCACCAAGAACTTTATTGAACAACGTATTCACCCTTTTGTTCCACTACCTTCTGCCATTTTTCAGGCAACTTCATAATTCCATCTTCCCAAAACTTTTTATCTTTTTGAGCAAAGAACTGTTCCAGGTGCCTTTTACAGGTTTCCTGGGAATTGAAATTTTTTCCACTAAGATAATTTTGTAAAGACCGAAATAAATGGAAATCCGAAGGTGCAATGTCTGGTGAATACAACGGATGAATCAGAACTTCTCAGCCAAGCTGTAACAGTTTTTGCCTGGTCATCAAAGAAACATGCAGTCTTGCGTTATCCTGATGGAAGATTATGCGTTTTCTATTGACTAATTCTGGACATTTTTCGTTGAGTGCTGCTTTCAGTTGGTGTAATTGGGAGCAGTACTTGTTCAAATTAATTGTTTGGTTTTCTGGAAGGAGCTCATAATATAGGACTCCCTTCCAATCCCACCATATACAAAACATCACCTTCTTTGGATGAAGACCGGCCTTTGGTGTGGTTGGTGGTGCTTCATTTCGCTTGCCCACAATCTCTTCCATTCCACATTATTGTACAGTATCCACTTCTCATTGCCTGTCACAATTTGTTTTAAAAGTGGAACACTTTCATTACATGTAAGTAGAGAATTGCATGTGGAAATACAGTCAAGAGGGTGTTTTTTTTTGCTTATATGGAACCCAAACATCAAAGCGATTCACATAACCAAGCTGGTGCAAATGATTTTCAATGCTTGATTTGGACATTTTGAGTATGTCGTCTATCTCCCGCGTAGTATAACGTTGACTGAGCTCAATTAGTGTCTTAATTTGATCACTGTCAACTTCAACTGATCTACCCAACTGTGGCGGTTCATCCAGCGAGAAATTTCCAGCACGAAACTTCGCAAACCACTTTTGACGTGTTTGATCAGTCACAGCACCTTCTCCATATACTGCACAAATCATTTTTTTGCGTTTCAGCTGTGTTTTTGCCTTTCTTGAAATAATAGAGAATAGGCCAAAAATGTTGTTTTTCTTTCATCTTCAATATTAAAATGGTTACATAAAAATTCACCAATTTTGATGTCTTTTTTTAAATGCACGCTGATATGACAGCTGTCACATACAACCTAACAAAATTGCTTCGAATGAAGTTAAAGATAACTAAGTGCTACTAAAGCCATCTTATGGAAAAAAACGAACGAACCTTTTGGCCAACACAATAATTTTCGGCATTTGGGTAGTTGTTTTCTTGGTTATATTGAAAAACATATTTTGGGGATCTTAAGAAATCTAGGGACATGTATTTACAGTGAGATTCATCCCCTTTCAGTCTCCATCCTTTGCTGTTGTTCATAATGAAGAGCTTCCTAGGGTGTTTTCCTGTATTAGGGGTGGTTTACAAGGATCACTTGCAGGGACAGTGCCCACATGCAAACTCTTTAATTTGCTTTTTTACAACTTATTTTGTACATTCTTTCTGTCTTACAAAAGTTGTGCTAATTCACTGAGGGTCCTTTGGAAAACAGTTACACAAAGAGAAAAAAATAATCTTGACTCGCACCCACAGAAAATAATCTTGACTGCTCTAATCTTGACTCCCACCCACAGAGAACTCTGATAACATGTTGGCATATGTTCTTGGTGGAAAAGTATAGGATACCCCAGAAGCCTACAAGGCAAATGTCTGATTTCTCCCTGGGATACAGTGACCTGGTGAAAGCATGCAGAACTGAATTAACCATTCATCTGAGAATGTGCTGACCAGGCATGTGAGGGCAGAACTAGTGATGGCCCCAGCATGGGGCAGAGTGTGCAAGTGGCACGCGGCAAAGGTGCTCCTTATTACAGGAGAGATGTGGCATTTTATACAAATACCCCAAATAGTTCCTGTATACAGAGGACATAGCTATGCCTTTGTTTTTGCAATATCCTAAATATGCCTGATTTATGCCCCTGCTTCACAGAGCTGGAGGACATGTATTTTGCTACTTTAAGTGATGAAAAAAACTAGGATAATCTTGGAGATAATTATAGCATTCTGATGTATTAGAAAACAAGTTTAAGAATCAATGAAGTGGAACTCCTGCTAAAAATTATTCCAGGAGTTTGTGAAAAATGTACATTATGGTCCCTTGTTCATAGATTATGCATCTGTAGGTGATAGTGGGTCTCCAGCATCCCAATTTTTAAATAATAACCACAGTTAATTCCGTGAACTACTGTCTGAGCAACACTAAGATTTCCTCTCGGCCACTGGTTGGAATCTGAGTTTCTTGAAGTCAGCTATTTATGTTTATTTGCAAGATGCCAAACCCACTGCCACTGCCTTGGTTAAGTCCTCTCTCTCACTCCAACATCATTACTCTAGGTTTCCTAACAGGCCTCTCTGTTCCCCACTCCCTCACCCTCTTCCATCCTTCACAGTGCCATAAGAAATATCTTCTTAAACCAGAATTCTTTAACCTCAGTACTGTTGACACATGGGGCTTAATAATTCTTTGCTGGGTGTGGGTACTGTCCTGTCCTTGTAGGATGTTTAGCAACATCTATGGGCTGTACTCACTAGAAACCAGTAACATCCCCATCCCTGGTTGTAACAACCAAAATTGTCTCCAGTCATTGCCAAATACCCCTTTGGGGAAAAACAGACCGTGGTTGAAAACCACTGCTCTTAAACCTTAGGTCTCTTCTTCTATTGTCTAAATGTTTTACCATGGCATTCAAATACCTATGTGATCTGCCTCTAAAACATGTTTCCAGCCATGCCTACTGCTACACTACTCAATGATCCTTGCTCTCCACCAAACTAGGCCATTCTAGTTTACCCAATATCAAGAACCATTGATATTCACAACTCTGTACATTAGCTTCTGCTTTTTCTCAAGCCTTAAGCATCCTTTTCTTTTTTTGCTTGCTTTCCCAGGAGAACCTGACATCTTCAAAGCTTAGCTCAAAATCCACCTTCTCCAAAGTTTTCTTGATTTTCCTAATTATCTCCACTCCTTCCTTGTGTGTACTAGTTTTTTTTTTTTTTTTTGCCTCTATCTAGAGCTTATTTATTCAGATTTGTCCCACAACCAATTTTTTGCCCATCTCTTCCCCTCTCAATTGCAAAGACCAGAACGTATTTCTTCCCAAGTCATAAGCACTGAGCATAGGGAAAGCACAAGTTGGCCCTTAATAACTGCACAAATGAATAAAAGTGACATTTAAAGCACACCACAGAGAATAAAAGTTTTTTAATCTATATGTTATAACTGACTCACCAAGAATGATGGAAACAAAATTAAATGTGTGTGCTATAGACCTACAGCATTACATTTTTAGTCAGGATATTATCCATCAACATTTTAGAATATTTAATTTGCAGTAAGCCCTTAACTAAAGTTAAAATCAGTAAGAAAAAGTAACCAAACTACTCATAAGCAGCCCAAAATTAAACAAAACCAGTCCCAGACCAACCCATGAGCAATGCTCACTTTAGTGTTTTCCTGCTTTTAATAGATATAAATTATACCTCAAATCACCTTTGAAAAGCACTGATTCAGTAGGTGCTACGTTAGCATCTTTGGTAGAATTATTACAAAGGGAACTCCCAAGAAGTTCTAGGTTTTAGGAATTACTCTATTAATGGATTAACAATCACAGTA